GAGTTCGATGCATTCCTCGCGCCTGTGAGCTGAAAATGAGGTAAAATTGGAGACATTTTGAGAAAAATTTAATTTTTTCAAAAAATCGACCCCCACCCTAGGAAAAATTTCGGCCAAAAATCAAAATTTCGCATACGTGTTTTTCGAACTCAATCGATTCCTTTCGACCTAAGAAGGTCACAAATATGCATTTATAAAGTGTTTGGGTCATAAGGAAGAAATCGTCGGATAAAGATCGTGAACGCTTAAAATGTGCCGAAAATGTCTATTACTTCAGATCTGAAACTTCTGCCATGTTTTTCAATGAGTTCGATGCATTCCTCGCGTCCGTGAGCTTAAAATGATGCAAAATGTAAGACATTTTGAGAAACTTCATTTTTTTCAAAAAATCGATCCCCTTGGAACAATTTCGACTAATAATCAAAATTTGCAAAATTACACTACTTAATTAATTGACGAACGAATTAAAACGAACTTAAATGGTTTCAGAATCAATCACAGATTCTTTTGAGACACACAGGCTTTACAAGAAGAAAACATGTTGTCACTTGATTGAAAAAACATTGAACGCACTGCACCGCTAGCCAACTTAGGAACCACTAGACACCACGAAACGCAGCGCAACTTCTGTTTTTATTTCCCAATATATAAAAAGTGTCGCGCTGTGTCGCTGTATCAATACAGCAAGCCGTATCGGTGTCGCTGTGTAAACACCTGAAAATCCTCTGTGTTACCCAGGTCTATCTCAGATGCAAACAAATCCAGAAATGAGTCTTGATACCCATTCCATCCAGTCCATCTAGATGATCATAATAATTACAGCCCCCAATTCCAAGTAAAATTATACAGATAAAAGTGCTTATTTAGATCAGGCTTTGCATCGCGACGTGAAAATCGGATTTTTTCCTCTCGTTTATCCTGCGACATTATTTATATTTTCCCGAAAGCAGGTGGAAAATACAGAAAACTTCCCGCCAGTCGTTTAGGTTCAGCCTTATCAATCAGGGTGGCTAAGTCTAAATAGCTATGACGATGTTTGTTATAAACAAGTGGCGGCCCTTAGCCACCCCAGCTTTGTGCCGCCTTTATTCAATTTGTCAGAAGATTATGCCGCGGTGGCTGCAAACCCTCCCTTAAAAACGATACATCATACGAAGTACAGCTCGGTCTCCGAACCCCATTGACATCTCGTAAGGGGTGCTGGAAGCAGCGACGTACTGGCCAGTAATTATTTCCCAATTTTGATAATCTCAGCAATCCATACAACTAACTATTCTCGATTGAGGTGCGCTTTAAGCGAGATCGTTATGTTCTGAAGAAGAAATCTCCAGCTGGTCTGCGTCGCATCAATCCCGCTTGGGTTTGCTTGAATGTTCATTGCAAAATCAATCAAAATTTTCATCGCCGTCAATCAAACAAATATAGTTTGTTAAACTACTGGTGTCAATTCTATTGATAGCGAGTTCTTTTCCACCCCGAAGGGATGAAACTTTAAGAGAATCCGACTCTGTTCCAAAGAAAGTATAGACATTCGCCTCTGCTCATTCAGAATGTACTGTCTAATAGCCCACATTATTACTAGGCAATAATTCAAATAAAGCGCTAAATGAAGCAAATGTAGCGTGAATAATATCGTTTAGCTAATTTAGATTGAAACTTTATCTCGTTTGTTTATGGTTTGCCATTTGCACTGCGGAATCCTGTGCCATATTTATTGGCGGATCTATCAGGCAACTTGGTTAATTTTTCGTTTATTTTTTAATTTCGCCCGTTTATTTCCGCATCATTTTCATTTTGTATTCTTTGGACGCGGCAAATTTGTAAAAAAATAAATTCACTTCAAACCGAATAAGTTTTGAGCAATCGCGATCTAAACCTATATCTTCAGAGCAATATGCTCCAATTTGTGCAATTCAACATATAAACAATGGCTGCGAAATATCGTAGTTAATTAGTTAATAATCGGGACTTTAAACCTAATTTTAATAGTTAAATATTCATGAATATTTATTCGCATTTCTAGTTTGTTTCAAACTATAGTGCTCCAGTGCTCATTATTATTAATCCGAGCGAAAATTAATATTCCATTTAAACCTTATTAAAACAATATGTTTGAAATATTATTGCTGCTATTAATCAATTGTAATTAAAATTGAATAATTTCATCTTGCTGGCAAAAATAACTGGCGAACAGCTGGATCGGACTGTGTGAATATTGGATTAGGCCATTTATTCGCCGCCTAATGACAACATGGTATGCAAAAAAAATATACAGGGATACAGTGGCTGAAAAAAAAATCCCAATAAAACCAAGTCATGAGCTTCAATAAAAAACGCCAATAAACACGGTGAGATAAGAAGCAGATCGATAAATACAGGTCCTAATTCATAACGGAAGTAACGGCATGTAATTTTATACAAAAAACGTATTAAAACAATGGCTTAAAGCAGGCTGCGGGAAATAACAATGTGTCAACGGAGCTAATTTGTATTCAGTAAATCTGTCAGCCAAACGATTAGTAAGATTCCCCGAATGTATCGGCGTTTGAAATGAATCCGATTAACTTTTTAAGTGCATCGTGGGGCTGAAATGAGCCGACCAGGCTTAAAATCCCCCACGAGTAATTCCACTTTGCGCTTCCCTTGATCTAATACCAGTAACACGAAATCAGGACAGAGTCAAGAAACTATTGCGAAGGAAATTATCAATTGAATAGAAGATTTGAAAAATATTGCGGATTTTTGTCAACAAATTGAACACGACACTTTCATCGTCGATTATATTTCCTTTCCACCCCTGTTGTCATTTCAATTTCTCTATACCTTTTATCTTCTTTTATCCTATAATATCCCCAGGAAACGAGGACGCTTATGGAATGCATAACGGGCATATAATTGCGGGATTATGGATTTAATTGAGTAAATTAAAATATTCGGAGTTAGCAAAGTTTGCTTGGGGATGCTTCTAAATCCCAAAATTGGACGTATTATTTTTTGTCAACATCCAGACTTCTATTCAAATCTCGGTTGCCGCAGATTCAATAAAAATGCAAATTTAGTGAGTAACAAAAGGGGACATTTACACTTGTCGAAAGATCTTCTTCCTGCGGGATTTTTCGCTACATGGGACCTTCCTGGTTTCATTAATTTCGGATACTGGGGATTGGCCCTTTTTAAGGAGATTTATGCTACATTCTGATTAGGTTATAATGATTACATGTCTTCGATATTAACCATATGATACAATGGAAGCTTTCATTGAAGCCGATATAGTAAGCTCGCTTATTTTCACGAATTACGCCATTTTACCATTTCATTGACGAAGTGTCGTGACGCAATTTTAAATTTTTGCCCAAGTAAAATTATTTCGAATTTCGTTGGCTTATGAAACTAGCATGGACATGGATGGCGTAATTCAAAAATTTTCCCGCACGAATTGAATCATCAATTAATTTACATTACAACACGAAAAAATCCGTTTTGTTCTTTGGCTGAATGTTGTTGAGAATTTGGCTAACGGCTAATTTTTCCACACAAATTCCAAATCAAACGAACTTGAAACTAATTGTGACAACGTGGAAGTTTGTGCCTGTGGTTAGCTAGATGGAACTGCGGATATTTAAATTAATTATGGTACGGCGCAATAAAAACGGGTGCTGTTTAAATGAAAATTAGACTACAACGTAAACAACCTTTAATTTCAGGACTACAGTCCTGGATTATAGGGGCCGTTAAACCGCGGTTGGAGTTGCTACGCTTCATTAAAGTAAGAGGTCCTTTGAGGATACAACAAAAAATAATCTGGACAGAATTCTCCCAGTGCTGCATTTTAGCCGCGAAGAAGTCATCGTAAAATTCATTTAAACGCCGACTTTTTAAGATTCTCGTTACCTTCATTACCTTGGCCCAGCAAAAATTAAAAATTAATTTTATCTTGTTACAAGTTTAATTAAATTAAAATATGAACGGCTTTTGCAGCGGGTGTCGAATTATACTTCAACTCTTCACATTTCTTTTTAGTTTTAATGAGAAATCAGTGGCAGTCCTCGAGTTTATCATTTAATCACGACGACGCTTTAATTAAAGTAGTTTGCAAGTATTTATATAAATCCATAATCTTGGCTGGTGAATTTGGATAAATCACTATAATGGTGGTAAATAATGCAAAGAAAGACTCACCTTTACTTGCGACTCGGTCATTCCTAAGGCATACGCAAGTTTCGCCCTTTCAGGGCCAGCAAGATATTTGGTTTGTTCAAAAGTCTTTTCTAGTGCAAATATCTGCTGCCCTGAAAATGTCGGCCTTGTGTGTTTCTTTTTGGCGTCTTTATCCGGACCTAATCCCGCCATATTACTTTGGTTCACTGAAAATAATAAATATGGAACAATTTAATTCGAGGAATTCAAAATTAGGCTAATACTAATTTTATTCGATACCCAGATAGAAAGCCTGTAGTCAGTAAGACTTTTGAAAATTATCACTCATTCAATAATAATAATACGCTCCGATAACAAGAACAGTGGATTCATATGAATAAATGCATCGGTTCATATAAACGTTCCTGTTTGAAGCTCATGCAAATGATCTAAAGCCCTAAAGGTACATCTGTACTATTTTAAATGTTATATTAAACATTTGCTTGTGATAAAACACAATATGTAAAATGTGTAAAATAACCAAAAATATTAAATCAAATAAGCGGGATTAATGGTTGCACATGTGCGTTGTTGACGTATGAAATCTGTCATAATCCCCATAGAAATATGGGCTCGTAATGTTCTAATCCCATATCGGTTTCAATTATCATTTTGACACGCTTGCAATGAGATTTCTCCAAACCCGTGCCTTTGTAATTTGACTGTCAGGCATTTGATGGTTGGAGCGGGTTCTACTTTGGGTACCTCAAATTAATTCACTAAACCGGATATACAGTAAATATAAAGTAATATAAAGTTTCATGGACGACGACAAATTAACACCCCATACCCCATACCCCTTTTCAATTTAAGACGTTCGTTTGAATAATAAAGCAAAAATACGAGTTCGAACCAACTCTTCGGAAAATGCGTGTATCCGCATTTATTTTCGCCCTTCTCATGTTTCCTTGTGGTCTTTAGGTCTGTAACATGTGTTGAGAGAGAGGGATAAAGAGATTTCAAATAATAAATGATTTTCTTTGGGAAAATTTGTATTCTGGCGCCGTTTCCCTTCTTTCCGTATCTCCCATTGGTTAACTATAGAATTCCTTTTTTCACTGCAGAAACAATGGGTTTATATAGAGAAACAACTATGAAACTTTATCACCTTTCTTCACTCACATAGATTTATGGCATCTGAGCTTGGGATTTGTGGTAATATTCTTTATGGCTAATCAATCAAATTCAAACTGGACCGAGATCTACGATTGTACAGAGTGTGAAGAAGCAACTTACCATAGCGGACGTATATGTCGTTTTCTGAAATAAAAATGCATTTATGTAGTAACAATTTGACAAAGATTATAATTTAGCATAAGTTCAACAGTCACGGTAGGAGCTTATAATATCTGATTCAAGCTATCACCTGTGCAGGTTATAGTCGATGAGTTTCGATAAACAATTTGATGTTAATTGTTATATAAATGTGCCATCCAGTGGCGAATCCCGGATTTTGATCTGGGGGGCCTGAGGTCATAAAAAAGTTACATCGTTGCATCGACGCACAGGGGGGTATTTGATATTAATTTCTAATCGAAATTGTTTTTTAATCAGATATTTCTCACAATCGTCATAATATAATAAATAAACATTTAATATTTTGAAGGTTGAACAGTTATTCTGGAAGAGCCAAACATTTCAGAGACGATTGGGTGCAATTTTTTTCAATTTTGTGAACCGAATTTTTAAGTAACTTGATCCAATAATAATGTGCACGAATGCCAAGTTTATAGTCTTCCTATCAAAGGCCCGAACTTGAATGAATATATGTTTATTTCATGTTTAAATTGCCTTGAGTATTATTTTAATTTAAAATAAATTGATTTAAACTCTATAGACTTTTCTTTAAATTTTAAGCCGACCAAAAGAAATTCAATTTTTGAAACACCTAATTTGATGTTTTTGTTTTTTTAAACCTAAAAGAGTTTCATCAGTCAGTTTTCACATATGGAGGAATAAAAAAAGAAAGGGAGAACAATATGACTTTTTTTTGAAAATATTAACACTAGACCAGTTTAGTTCATTTTGGCCACAACAAGAAGCAAAAAGTAGCATCCAATTTTTTCACCGTAAAAAAGCTGAATGTTTGCTTCTAAATAGTTTCGTTGATGGCGCCCCCTACAAGTTAGAGCCAAATTAATATAAATGTACCATTTCCAATTCAAAAACCCCTAAATACCAAATTTCAACAATACATTGGCATTATTTAGAAAAATACAAGGAAAAACTAAAATAAATCTAAAATTTTAACACTCTGTATCTTGGTTTTACGGTGGTACCAATGATGCAGTTTTTTTTCTATTTTGGGCAAAAAGGAGCAAAAAGTAGCAGCCAGTTTTGTAACAATCAAATAGCTGGATGTTAACTGAATGAAAAATATATAAAAACTTAGCTGAATTCGGGAAAATAGTTAACGAAACCTCTCTGTTCAAGTCATACTCGCTGTTTTTTACATGATTTTTAAACCCTCTTATAGAAAAACTATTACTTAGGCATAAAGATCGTTTTTTGAAACTTAATATTATATGTAAAAATGCAGGCCTGCAGGTTGGTCGTCCAACATAAATCGGGGTTCAGGTTGCATGTAAAAAGCACAGAGTATCAAATCGAAATGATTCGACAAAAAAAAATTACACATAAAAATTCAGAAAGATTAGCTCTATGTCATATCTTTGACGTAAAATGACAGTCGAATAATCCAGACAAACAAATGCTTGACAACGCAGACTAAACAAATTGTGTCGACTTTTATGAGTGCTTTTAGAAACCAGCACAGACTTGATTTTTTGAATTTCGACCAGTTTTATATTGTTAATACCCCAGTGTGCGACATACCGTAAGCTCCAAGTTCTTCTGGATGGAATTAAGGTGTGAAATATTTTATTTATAAATTTACAGAATTATAAAGTGTTACTAAGTTCAGATTTGAGAGTGGTGACGATGAAATAGAGCGGATCCGCCACTGGTGACGTCATTAATGCCCGAAAAACCCGCAAGAAGGCAATTCGAATTGAGCATAGAGCGTAAAATATGAAGACATTCAGATGAATTTAAGGCGTATTTTGTTTTCGAACGAGCCGCCCCTGTGTCTCGGCGAAGGGAAATGTTATCATCTCCATCCATCTTCCGTATCAGGAAAAGTGTTGTGCGTGTCGTGTAGAACAAGCATCACCATTGTAGAAGTGTTTCTGTGGTTGCCGGAGGCGGTAACCTAGCAACGGAATTCTGGATGAGGGAGTGAGGAGGGAAACTGGAGTAGGGGTCGCGATGCTCGGCGTCGAGACGAGTTGTGCTCCAGAGCCTTTCGCACAATGGGAGCGTCATTGAGTTTCGAAAGCCAAATATTCAAAACCATCCGTGATTTGAGAATTATCTGGCCAAATACAGGGGCGTAGCTTTAGGAGGGTGCATTGTAGAAAAAATGTCCTTATTTTTCTATTGCAGGAATGCAAGCCGAGTCATTCGACTAGAGTTCCTTCGGTATGCTCTGCTCTTTGGGAAGCTTATTTTGGTAATGGAATTTTCAAAAAGCATATGGGTTTTCCCTTAGCCTTCAAGGACCACTTGAATATCTTGCATGTGCATGTAAATAAAATTCTAATTTGATGACAAAATAAGGACTCGCTTGAAAACTGACTGACTTCAGTCGGGTTGTCCCACTGTAAGCCATTTGCCGATGAAGCAAGCTGTTTAAAGCAAGACACCCCGTTGGAATAATTATATTTGTAGATAACGGGATCAAGAGATTATTCAGTTTAGTATCGCCCCATCTCCCTTATCAAAACGCTAACACACTCTTACAAGCTTCAGTTATGTCTGCTATGTGTTATCCCTCTCGTTAGACTAATATCTTGATTGTGACTCTCTAAATTGTATGTTTATGCAGGAATTAGTACCGGAATTGTTGGAATAGAGCATTAAATGAATAATAAACCTGCTGAACATTTAAACCGAAACACTAGACTTTTTCCCGTAGGAGTCAATTTAACAAACACATATTCGGAGCTATCATGTGCCGAATATTGATGTGCAAAAACAAATGATCCCCAACAATTATTCTTATGATGTAACAGAACGCGCACCCCATGAGCAGTCGAAATATTGGATCATGTATGATGCAAAGCCATATATCCATTGGCGTATCTTTTAATTGAAACCATAAAACCAGCCCTTTGTTCCTCTACCCCACATGCAATTTCATATTTTGAATCTCGCATCTATAAATCACACTATTAAATCGACGAACACATTTTGTTGTTTCATTTTTGATCGCATGTTGGATAAACGAATAACAATGCGTTCTCCGATAAGTGTTCCCATTTCAGTCAATTAGTGCAGAAAAATTAATTGCTCAGAATGGAATTAATTGTTATAGAGAAATATTGCGAAACTGTGTGAGTAAAGTATTTAACTATTTGTATCAATATAATAAATATCAGCAGATTTATTGGCTCATATTTTACTTTGATCGTTGATTCAAAGCAATTTAGCCCTCAATAACTGTTCCCCCCGAGAATCCCTCTCAAGACCTTATTAGGGTCAATGCCTCAAAGTGTAATCTTCTGACATTCAATAAATTAAAGTATCTTTCAAGAAGCATCGATTTAGTTTTCTTTAAATTTCATGCCAGGATTTCATCATTTTTCCCTACACGGTAAGAGTTTTATATTGGTAAGATTCTATAGTAAAGAAGCCAGATGTCTATATAATAATCTATATATGCTGACAACGCAGGATATAGCGTAAGATGGGCCTCACGGGACATATAAGGCCCGAACGAATTCAATAATGCACCTATATATTCCTCTTGTTCTTGCCCATATCCATAGTCGGGGAATATTCGAATATTGTTAGAGAATTGCTCGCCTGGAAAATATTATGGCTGGTATATCTGAATCAATGTTGGAAACGTACTTGGTTTTATCTGGGATTTTACGCGAAATACATAGTGCCTTATTCCTGGACGACTAAATTCGAAGTATATTATTTATCATTTGAGACTCACGATATTCAAAACTCTAAAAATGCATTTAATGCATTTTGCCATCTCAGTGGAAAGTCGAAAATCGTTAAGCGTCATAAATTACTTAAAATCTATTAAAAAACGAAATTGTCAGTTTGGCTAATAAAAATAATTAAGGAAAGGCAATATCTGTGTTCGAATAATGTCATTACATTTATTTAATAGTATGGGGGCATGTTACATGGTGGAACGATTGGAGGAACGGAAACCAGCATCGCCTTTTCTGCATCATCCGCAATATCAATGTAGGGAATCACCAATATAAACTGAAATAATCTCATAAATAAAAATGATGGCTACGATATCTTTTTCATATGCACGTTAGGTGATATAAAAGATGTGTTCGACATGGAAATGCGCTTAAATGTTTTGCCATTGGAATTTTTGATGGAATCGGCTGGAGAATAAAACTGAAAGATCGGCAATAAGGTGTTCCTAATGCGAAACATAAAAATTATAAATTAATGCGGGGTTGGGGTTCCAGATGTAGAGTTTAGATAGAATGCGGAAACTGTAACAAAAAGTCATTTTCCAAGTAAAGTAATTTATGTGTGTGCTCTACGTTTCCGTGCCATAATTTAATTAAGACAACATTGTGTCTTGCTCTAACAATAAACAGTTATCTCGACTATGCGTCCTATGTAATAGCCAGAGCGGTAGAATATATACGTTGGCATCCCTGTTATTATAGCAGCCAAGTTTGCTAATTGAAGACCCCGTTACTGAATTAGTTGTTCATTTAACGGTCTATCATCCTTCTGTGCCGCTATTCTGCTAGCGTTTACTGCTTCTGCCAGCCGTCACAACTATCATGATGCAACTACATTATGTTGGGAAAACTGACTCGTAGAAAAACTGAGATGGAGAAAGTCCAGAAGATTCCGCTTTGTTTGGCTCTCGGTTATTTCTCCCATCATCAAAAGTTACGTCGATTGTAATGGCTTCCAGCGAACCACTATCTAGTTATTAGTCAATTCATTAGGGCGGCGATTATATAATTATTAAGCGAAAACTGGACAGGCCCATTTCGATGCATCATCATCTGTCCAGGGGGCGATCGGATCAGAATAATTAATATCTGAGTTTGTTTGATTTGCTAAGTTAATAACGTGAAGACCAGCTGGCGCAAACAAATATCACACACGTCAATGGTCATTAGGCGAGAGGTGTGAGACAAGAGCCGAGCTCATGCTCCAGCCACACAGTGGATTCAATTCTGGAGCAATCGAACAATAAGACTTCGCTCCAATTTCCACACATTTAGCTATTGGAACCTTTGGTTTGGATTCTCGTTGGTAGCAAAACTCGGTTATTTCGTTACTCTCAGAGTGAATGAATTTAAATTGCCCGCAAGGAGGCTCTTTCGCCTGTATTACACTACGCACTTTTCCCCACTTTATTTGTTTATTTATAAATATATTTTGTATATATGTATTTGTTGGGCCGATTACTGAGGGTTGCCACATATGAGCGTCAAGCGTGGAATGGGGCTGCGATCGATAAATCGCACTATTTATTGCGAAGAACATCTTGAGAGTTATGAGATTGCAAAAATTGTCTGGAATTTTTCAGATGCAATAAACTTAGCAAATTAAGAGCGAAAAATTGCAAAAACAGCAAAAAAATTGTTTCTTGGCTCATGTGCTACACATCGTTACCAGCAGAAAACAGCAGAACAATGAAATGTCGGGTTTACCGAAATTGCTCCAATTTATTGTGAGATCAATATCGAAGTGTAAAGTCCAAGAAGATTACCTTCAATAATTGGCCAACAAATAGGAGAAAGTGCGTAGCGTATACGTGTAGTCTCCTTTATATTACTTATTAGAGGCGTAGAAATTTTAGTCTCTGGCGCAGAGATCAATTGCATTGGGTGAAAATATAAAAACCACCAAATATTGATACTTAATTTTCGCCCACTGTGGTTAGTTCGTTTCCGATTCCGGCTTGGGCCGCAGCAATCACCTTTTGCTTTGTATTGTGATATATGATGTAATAATGCTGCAAACATATGTGACTCGTTAGCCGATAACGAAATTGCTATTGATATCGTCTAATCAACTCGGCTAATGAAGAAAAGCATATGTTACTCATATTCCAAAACTAATAATTATAATTTCATATACGAATATGTATTTAGCCGTCCTGGTTCGACATCAATTTTATTAAGTCGAACATTATTAATTTGCCATTAGATTTGTAAGCAATTTTGTTCTATTTGTCTAGTTAACCGATGTTTATTCTTTGATTTTTTGATGATGATGATATGTTTCCAAAATACAAAATTCCTTGTCAATTCGATAAATTTTATATGGGCATTAAATAAAGGAATTAAAAGACACAATCATGCATAAAAACAAATAATTTCAGAGATCACATATTTTTCAACATGGCATTTGATAATTTGATGATTTTGTTGTCAGTCAATGTAATTAATGTTCAGTCCTTTTTCTCATCTTTTGCCTCAACTTCAGCTAATTTTAAATTTAATTTATTTAGTTTTGACATGGTGACTTATGCTAAAATCTCCAGTTGCGCAAAGAAACATACATACTAAATTAAAGCATCCATCACGAAAATTCTAAATTAATTTTATTTCCCTTTGTTTAAAACACTGAGATTTAAGAAAGTAAAAATTTGTAGAAAAAAAGTCAGAACGATTTGATCTCCTATGTCTAGATGATAGCTCTTGAATACGATGTTGGTCGTTTGTGATGAGCACGCTTTATTAATCTGTAGTCAAAAACTTGAAAACATTCTGCCTTACAAGGAAAAAATTTAGGCGGTTTATACCCAACAAACAGGTTTTGTTCAACAGAAATAGTTGCTGTTATGTTTTTTCAGAGATTTTACGTCTGCTCATATCGCAGAATACGTAGTTTGGAATTTTTTTATGGCAAATTTAATGTCCCGATTTTCGCAAGTTCCTCTCTTGGCAAGCGCAGAAAGAGCGAGTAGAGGAAGATCAGGTACGCTTGACGGTCATGTGAAGTTGAACATTTGCTTGAGCAAATGTGAAAGATTTTTTTAAACACACTCTAAATACCTTTTAACCAATTAGATATTAAATTGTCGAATGTTGGCTGATTCGGCAAACTTTGCTAGAATAATATAACTAGTTAACACGAAGATCTAAATCCATTACCAGGTGTAAATTAGCTGTCTGTGCTTAGTGGTAATCAAAAGCTGTTACGTGTGCGAGTCATAAACAGTCCCTTCCTCATGAAATAAATGATATTATCAGGTTGACATATGGTGAGATTACATGGCAATTTCGCTGTCGTTTGTAGTACTAATATATGCATAACGATGCTTAAGTTTTATAAATACTAACAGTAATTTTTTAATAGTTATATGGAAAGAATCCATATGTTCTGTGAGTTTAAATTTTATGTGCTTGATATTAACATTAAAAGCGAATATATTGAGGGGTCAATACTTGCAATTGTCCATGCAGAGAACATATAGAAAATCAAGCTGAAAAGAACTTCTTTTATACTTGTCAAATCGAGTATCTTAAACTTTCGCTACAATTGCTTGAACAAACATTTGTTCAGATTTTGCTTCGGGCAGTTTTAGATCCTTTGGAGCAGAACATCAATTCCCCAAAAGGACGTTTATTTTCTTTACAGTAATGTTGTTTTATTCGCTTAATCTAAAACCACAGAGATACAATAACGGACATAAATGTGATTCGTGCACATGTCAAAGGCGAAAATAAATTTATTTGTGGTGTGGGGAAGTATTAAAAATCATTATTTGCGCTGACCATGATTTCTTTTTATGCGAGGTGTGAAGAATGAGGAATTTTCACCAAGAATCCGGAAAGGACTGAACGGTAAATAAAGAAAAATGTATTGATACACTGACCATAAAAGAAACCTACCACCTGTGGTACTGATTGTTCAACGTCCGGTGCCACTTTCGGCGTTTTAGCGAATTTGTTGAGAAAGGAATCACCTAATAAATTAATTCCGAAATAAGAAATGTACTCGTTGATTTTTTTCTTCAATTAAACTGGAAATAGAATAAATACAATTCGAGTGGAGTTAATAATAATAGAGCTGTGTCTCCTCTCGTTGGAGCGTTTGCCAGATGTCAACAAAATCACTATTATCAGAAACTGGGTAAATAGAATAGGTCGACAATATCGCTGTTTGTATGATGTGAAGGAACAAACATTTGAGATCAACAATTGGTTTGGCGGTGTGTAAGCGTGCGGATATTACTGTTTACGGGACTGGAATTACGGTTGAATAGGTAAACTTGCTGAGAACGTGAAATCATCAACATGCTACAGCCATATCAGGACACACTACGCATTATTAATAATCTGTAAATCCAAGAAGGCCAATTTGCATCTCATAAATCCGGTTTTGAATTAATAACACGGTGTGTTAAGACCTCCGCAACCGAATTAAGAATTAATACGAAGAAAAAAATACTCTTATAGACCGCTTCAATAGATTTTCAATTTATCCCTAGCAATAAACATCAGATCGCAGGGCGTTGAAATTCATTAAAGTCCCCAAATCGTCGTCAAAAAAATAATCCCACGAATGCGCTTCGGGCTACGGGCAAACTGCAATCTATCAACTTTGTGCTGTATTCAAGCTGATTTTAAGTATTCCTAACATTCTTACATGGGGCGAATTTTGGGTTTGAAAATAGATCAAAGTTTTAGTAATTCAAAGAGACTTAAACTTCAAATGCTTTCACTGGCGAAAGTGAAAGGGAATTGTATACTTATCGGGTACCTAGTGAAACTAAAATTATACACTTGCAACTGCTTGCAAAATATTCTGAGATAAAGTTTCAGGCTTGACCAATAAATTGAGAACATCTGTGACAACTTAAAATCTAAATTGTGCTCAAACAGGTGTTAATACCAGAATAAAGCATAACATACTAACACCTTGTAGAGAGTATTTGAACTAGTGGCTAAAAATTGAATGGAATGTGGAGTAAAGTGAAAAAACACACAATTCTGATACTTACTGCCACTGAGTCGGTCCCTCCATGCAATAGGATTGAGGCTCTGAATGCCCGGCCAGTAGAGTCCCCCTGTGGTTCTTCCCAGCTCTACCGGAGGCTTGTTGACGGAGTTAGCAGCATGATGGTGAAAAAAGGCAGCAGCGGCAATATTGAATCCTCTCAAGCCAGGATTAGCTGCATTTTGAGCACTATTCGCAGTCATTCCCAGCGAGTTTTGGGTAAATCCTAAATTGTGAGGGAAATGAAGAGAGCCCGTGGTGATTTGTGAGGGTCTCGATAGTATGTGATCTATGCCATGGGGATTGGCTCCTTGTGAACTATTGCTATTACTAGTGGCACCGAGAGGACTCCGCGATGTCAGTCCGGATCTTTCCATGTGTAAACTAGTTCGTTCTAAAACCATGTCGGCATCGGTTTTGTCTTGACCGTGCATGTGCTCGGAAGGACTAAGATGCTGTTGATGCTGTTTCATCTCAGCCATGGAGTGTAAGGCTGCAAGAGGCGCTGCCAACATGTTGCGGTGCTCCAAATTGAAAAGACTGAGATTTTGATGACTAGCGAATTCCAGCATCTTGGAAACTGGCGGCGGAGGAGTCACGGACACCTCAGAACGATCACTAGAAGCGTCGCTATGTTGCGTCATTGCCACTGGAGACGCCGTGGTTAAAATTGCTGGACGCGAACTAGCCGCGTCTCCTTTAAATAGTCCTAGTTTATTTGGAAACACGTTAGGAAACTCACTCACGGAACGACACACATCACACCACTTTCACGAAAAATAGCTGAGCATGGTCAAATTGTAGCTGACTCTAGAATCAGTGGACAGTAGGTTGACAATGAACTGACGAGAGACTTGCAAGGAAACTATGCACTCATCGAGGTGAGTTTTAAGTGGGCGGCGGCAAGGTGAATTGCTGGCAGCAACGGTGGGGATGTCTATAGAGTGAACTGCATGTTAAATATGTGCTACTGTGAAGCTCATTACGGTAGCTCTATGGCAGTTAGAGCTTCGGTGCGTGTCGCGTAGTTGCGTGGTTGCACTCTGCTCTATTTTTAAAAGAGATTAATGCTTTTTCTATTGGCGGAAAGGAGGAACGCGACGCTGCGACGGACACCGCCATTGGCGCAAACGTTGTTCGCTAGAACCGCCCGGCGTCGTGTCGGAACACGCCTTTTCCCCACCGAACGCTGTGATCCGTTTCATTCTGTTATATCTGTTATAGGGAGCACTCAATCTGTATCTCACTAGTATAAGCATATTCGCGGTGGAATGGAGCTTCACTACACTCCCCTAAAAAGCTCTGATTAAACGGAATCTCAGTCAAGCGCTTTTAACGTCGCTCAGTTTGTCCACTGCATGATACGCTCTAGCGTACTCAATTTTACTAGCTGCTTCAATAATTTTATGTTTTTTTAAGTGTCAATTACAAAAGCATAAAGCAGTTAACTAGATAACAATAATGAAAATAAAGATGATGTAGTTTGCTGGCCATTACGATTAAAAAAGTTTCAATTGCTCGAAAGCTGAAGGCATTTAAGTCCTTTAAATGGAGCAACAAACTGAGGCCATACGGTCTAAGAGCCATAGATAAAGTTAATGGAGGGGAGAATCAGTAGCGGCCTCCAAACTGAAGATAGAACTACTCTGCATATCATTAATCTTAATTAAACTTACATTTAGTTATCTTGTGTTAGAATGCCGATGTCTATTCCCCCGAACTTTCACGCGAAGATGTGTTTTTTATGGTCCAAGGACAGTATTTTCTGTTCATGAGGAATTGTCATTTTTTTTTGAACGGAAAGGAATTATTTTGAATTTGCACAACCCGTTCGGAGTTGACTGACGACGTCCGGATTGCACGTATTTAGGAAACATCCAAATCCAGTTTATAAGTAATCCGAATAGTTAGCATCATTGGAATAGTTTCACTCAATTAGGTTGACATGCAGGGTGCAGTCGTCTCAGACAAAGGGTGCCTCCAAACAATCATCCCTGCAGGCACGGCAGCAGTCACCCCATCAGTGCTAAAAGCCTTTTGATATTACATGTTTAAATGGGGGTAAGTAATGTGATTACTGAACAACGCCACTCTGTTAGATTTAGTTCACATTTTTGGGATATATTCACTTAAAGTATGGCGTTTTTGATTAAAAGTTGCTTGAAGCTGAGCTGGGCGAACGTCATGTTCGCCCAGCTTTTATGAATGGAATCATATCAGCACGAATTGGATCAAAATGATCCTTGTCTTGTTTCAGATATTTTGGAAAGTGTGAAGGCGCCCAAGAGAATAAAATTTTCTCAAAGGCCTTTCAGCCTCAAAGATTGCACAAAGAAGTTCGGGTGAACCTAATAATTCCCACAGCAATTCGGTTAATGATAACGCATGTAACAGAGAAGTGAAATAAATCTGAAACAAAAGTGACCTTAATGGCGCACAATATCCCCCAATTAATTTTAATAAGGACGCAGCAGTTCGTCGCTTATAAGACACGATAAACATCGTTACTGTAAGTCATTTATTAAATCATATCACTGTAGCAAATCGGATTACAACTTCTTCATTACATTAATAGTATTTGTGTATGCAACTAATAATGCAGAGGGGCCTATATTAAATTAGAGCCCTCCTAGATGTTAAATCACAATCTCGACTGCGGTTCTCTCTTCGACGCTGCTCCCGGCAAAGCATTTATTCCAATAAGACCCCCTCTTTTGCAAACTGTCACTACAAACTTTTTAAATTTCATAACCAAATAAATTTTATCATTTATCCGGTAGCGATTTTTTTTTGTTCGCGCCTCGTGATTCAATTACTTCGGCCATTAATCAATTATATTATTCTTATAAGAACAGACTCGTAATGAAATTTATCCCCAAATCGTAACTTTTCCCCCGCGTCTTTCAATAAGTCTCTTATTGGAGGCATTTTCAAATCAAAGACTGTTCGAAGTTAATTTTCTTATACGGTCCGATTCATAACTATGCCTCCGTTATATTCAATCATGATTTACGACTCACGCTTTATTCATCTAAGAGTTATAGAATTTCAGAATATGCCTCAAATTTTAAACCTCACAGTTCGTCACTTAAATATTTTCGTTGAAACTGCCTCTAAAACTATGAAATTCACTTTGGTTCGATCATCAAATTCACTTATTAGCCTGTGACAGGCAAGTTATTTTTTTATAATAAAACCACTCTGTGCATCCACAAATAAAGATGAGTTACCTTATTTGTCGTCGTTATTTATAGAAATTCGTGAAGTGCTCGTAAATGCTAATGGTATTAAATCAAATAAAACTTTAGGGTCGGCTCATATGTATTTCAAGACATTTACGTTGAATTGTTGTGCCAAGGTGTGTTTTAGGATGCCTTTTATGTATTATGACTTTACCGAAGAATATAAACGAATGAATGGGAAATACCGGATTAGACGTTTTATGTAATGGTACAAGTATCATTTGGATGTAATGAGTCTATTTGTTCCCTCGTTCTTTCCAAACGACTATTTTTCGTTTTATTTTTTACTACCAATCATTCTTAATTGCAGCAGTTTATGTACATTTTTTTATCTTCTTTACAAAGTTTGTCAACATTTACATATCCAGCATTAGTATCTATAAACTGGAAACCACCCTTAAGTATCTGCACAACGGGTCAATTGCTTCAAGCAAATTTGGGTGTATTTTCTAAATAAATCCATGAAACTGAAAAGTTTGTTAGGTCACAATTTCCATTTTCTCCCAATTTTCTGGTTGCTAATGGTTAAGAAAATTTATGTAATAAGTAATATATAAAGAATAAACGAATCCCACAGGCAATGAAATTCTAAATGTGCTGGATTGAATTGTGGACCCTAAATTCGGACATCATTTATATAGCGCATTGCTGATTAAATATAAGTCATTCGTTTTTGTGTGCCTTAAAAGGTATCCGGGGTGTATTTATGCACCAAATTGCTCCCGAATTAAATAAGTGTACACTTATAGGGAGCACACATTTAAACGTATACAGAGTCATAATTTATAGATTTTTGAAGGGCCACAAAATCCCACCCCTGCAATTAACTTTATTAGTTGGTGTTAATACTCGAACAGTTCCTAGAGTTTTCATATAATAAATTGACCTTAGTAATATCGCCGGAAAATTTTTCCTTTCTCCCTTTTATGCCTTTTGAAGCAGTAACCTGATTTTTCATGCCCTTGTTGAAGACTCACAGCTTTGAAATAATAAATCGTTTAACTCTCGAAGAGAATAAATCATATTTGAAATCAACGATTCAGACTTAATGTTAAGGGAGCTGTATGCTCACAAAACACCATTCAAGAACTCATATCCAGCGGTAGCTGAACCGTCATTTAAAACATTTTTTTAATTCAAGGTTGCTCATTTAGAAGTTATGTTGAATGGAGTTTAATGATGATTTAACACTGTTATAGCAGAACGCAAACGTGATAGTCAAAAGAGGAGCTACAAGCGGCATTTCAAAAGGAATATTGTTATTTACGTTTCGCGTTAGGAATGTGATTTTCTCATCGATATTTGCTCAAACTACAAAGGCAGTTGATCAAAACAGACATGGCTATTTGCTCCTTCAGTTTCAAGTTTCTAATATGTTTGGCAAAAAACACACAATGTTCTCCACAATCAATTTACTACAAGGATAACAAAACCCCAACATGTTTCAAGACATGTTGGGGTTTTGATATCCTTGTAGTAAATTGATTGTGGAGAACATTGTGTGTTTTTTGCCAAATTTCTCTACAATCAATCCAGGGCCCGAGCCTGATGATGAATAGTTTATGCTCTCGAAACATGTTGGGGTTTTGTATCCTAGTAGTAAGTTGATGGTGGAGAACATTGTGTGTTTTTTGCCCGACTTCTCTACAATCACTCCAGGGCCCGAGCCTGATGATGAATAGTTTATGCTCTCGAAACATGTTGGGGTTTTGTATCCTAGTAGTAAATTGATGGTGGAGAACATTGTGTGTTTTTTGCCCGACTTCTCTACAATCACTCCAGGGTCCGAGCCTGATGATGAGTAGTATAAACTACTGATCGAGTGCATAAACACTCGAAACATGTTGAGGTTTTGATATCCTTATAGTAAATTGATTGTGGAGAAGACTGTCTCTGTCTGTTTTTACCAAACTTCTACTCCTAAGGTACAGATTACTTTTAATATCGATATAATATCATGTCTACTAAAAGTAATTACAGGGATTGTGAGTCGAATGACTTGCTAACTGCTACTGAATTTTATATTCAATTACTTATTAATCTTCTACAGCGCATTTATTACTAATGTTAAGTTTTATTTGAAAAAATGATCACAGCACTAACTAATTAATTACGGCAAGTAATAATTAGCAACTAATATGGTATGGTTGAAATATGGATCCTTTCCAACGCTTGGACCACACAAACACGAAACGAGTGTAGGCCACCGAAGCACTAAATTTCAATTTCCAAAAAAGGAAATTGACAAATTTAAAATAGTGGCCGCCGAAAGCAAGTGGCGAATTTCTTCACATATAGAAAGAATAAAAATCGTCTAATTGTTTCAAGATAGAAAGTAGACTAGACGTGCTAAAAGGTCCTTTTAAAGGAAACAAATGGGCACTTAGCGAACCGACCACAAACAGCAGTGCCAATGCAATATATGAGAACGAAAGCATCAACTATGAAACCCTCCCAATCTTTAGATGATGACGCGATTGCAGAACTGGATTGAACCTTTTCAAACCAGAGTCGGAAAAAATTAGTTCGGGTTGCAGTCCTACAAGGGAGGCTTCTACTATAAATCAGCAACGAAATGCTTTTATATATCGAAACAAACAACAGCAGCAGAACGACATGTGATAGT